TTCACATTCAAACCAGAAAATATATTGAAGTTGACGACTGGAGCACTTTAACTGCTCGAAGGGCGAAGACAGACAAAAAAAAAATGTATAAAACCCTTCTTTGTAAATTAATATATTCATCGCTTCACTTACTTCAATATCATGAAAATAAAATCAAGTTATATTATGTAATTAAYACTAAAGTATTATTTGTGTTACTAATATATAATAAACTAAGGATTTTATACCGTAAAACGAAAAGTTTCTGTGATTTTTTAGTTTATTTTTAAAAATATTTTCCAATAATCCTAAATATGTAATTATAATATTTCTAAATTACTACCTCTTACTGATTTCCCTTTATCATGAATACATTTTCTGTGCACCATTTTAGCATGTATGAAAAAACTAATTACCTAAAAAAAATTGTTAAAAATCKAGGTATAACACATTCTATAACATAATATAGACACTGAAAGATATAATTTTATTACTTAAAGCTGATTAAATTATAATCAATTAAAATATATATTGAGAAAACCAAAAAACCACGCACACAAGCAAACATAATCTAGAAATTTGCTAGGCTAAACTGGTTTCAAGATTATCCCACATTATCCTGCACCGGATTAATGAATTATGTTAGTGATATGGTCTAAAAACATCCCATTGCATTTTTTTACACCGGTTTGGTATAGCAAATTTCTAGAATGATACAAATAAAYGTCATGGGCTATGAAAGTGTTAGATATTCATTGTAGTATATTTATATATAATCCTGTACAGCACATCATACATAATTTGACTGAATAATATACAAGTAGATTGATTATTATAAATCTAATTTCTATACTTATACAACATAATAATTTATTACAGGACAGTAGAATATTAAAATAAACCTTACAGCTAACATTTATCATTTGGGTAGGTTAAAGGTTATAGGTTGTTTAAGCTGTTAAAGTTGTTTCTGAAATTTGAGAATTATTAAAAATATCATGCCATGATATATATATATATATATATATTTTAAAATATATCATTAACTAAGCATTTTAAATTGTTTTAAAATTGTTTATTTTTTAATATTTTTAATGTTAATTTTTATTTTTATTGTAACTTCATAAAAACAAATTTGTTCTCTAGGTCCATATGTTCTTGCTGCTGGTATAACAACTTATGTATTAAGTAAAGAAATATGGGTAGTTGAACATGAGTTCCCTTATGTATTAGCTACAATTGGTTTGTTTTATGTTGGATGGAAAAAATTTGGAGCATCTTTGGCTAATGTCCTCGATAAAGAAATTGATGTATGTATCTATTTTATTGTATTGCATTATTTTTATTAAATTGTTGATAGTTAAATAATAAATAATTCATCTTTTTTATTCAGGAATATGAAGCATCTTGTAATGCCAGCCGTAAAGGTGAAATCGATGCTTTAACAGAAAGCATTGAAAGCCAAAAAAAAGAATTATGGAGAACTGAAGCTCAAAAACATGTAATTCAAGCAAAACGGGAAAATGTAGCTATTCAGTTAGAAGCCATTTACCGTGAACGAGCTCTTCAAGCCTACAACCAGGTAATATATTTAATAGTATAACAGGAATTATGTTAGTATCTATAATATTTTATTTTATTTAAAGGTAAAAAGGCGTTTGGATTATCAATTGGATTTGGCTAACTTGACACGCACTGTTCAACAAAGACATATGGTTAACTGGATCATTGAAAATGTTCTTAAGTCTTTAACAAATGAACAAGAAAAGCAAAGTTTTAAAAAATGCATGGTAGATTTACAAGCATTAGCTGCAAAAGCATGAATGTAATTTCAGTTAGTGCCATTTTTTTTAGAACATTGTATTAATGGTAAATAATAAAACATCAAACATATTTGCATTCATTTTATATACTTATTTAACAGTAGATTTTATTCTATCCAGAAAAATAGAAAAATAAAATAAAATAACGTATAAGGTATTAATATTATATAGAATACATTCTAATAAATTATTATATTCACTATAAAAAGATGTTGTACCATTATTTAAAAAATAAATAAATACAATTTTACCATTACAGAATCAATTTT